TCCTCCTCCGCCTTCCTCCTCCGCCTTCCTCCTCCTCCCTCCCTCCTCAACCGCCCTCCTCCTCCTCCTCCTCCTCCTCCTCCTCCTCCTCCTCCTCCTTCCGCCCTCTCCTCCCATGATGCACTTTCCCGTCCCCTCCCTCCTGCAGGCCCTGCCCTCACCTGCCCCCCCCACCCCCACCCGGCCTCCAGAGTCATTTTTTCCAAGGCGCGACCCAGCTTATCATCCTGAATCGTTTCCAGGCCCCCTCGCGTTGTCAAACAAATCACGACGGGAAGCTTTTCTCTATTTTCGCCGGGCCCCAGGACCGTCAAAGAACTGTTCAGGATGAACACTTGGCCCTGGGGTATGGGTCCGGACCTCTGGGGGTCGCGTCATGAAAATTACGTTTCCGAGGAACCCCACATACTTACCATGTGTCCTGCGTGGTGAGAATTGACGTGCAACTTGAGAGCATGTTGACGGTGGCCATCGCTTCGCCAACATCGAAAGCGGCGTGGTTGAAGCCTTAGGGGCCTGACATGCCGCACCAACAGAAACGATTGCAACGCCAAAAGGAAACTGAGGTTTTCAAGCGTCGCACAGGAAACGTTCGCACGCCGCTGCTTCGACAGAACAGGGAGGGGCAGGGGAAAGCAGGAGGGATGCAGGAGGCGTTCCCGCCGCGCCGTGCGAGCCTCCATCCGACGCTGGCCCCGCCCCGGGCGCAGTTGCTGGCTGTCCCCGCGCATCCCGTCATGGCGTCGAAAAGATGCCGCCCCCCCCGCGCACCCCCTCTGACGTCGAGAAAGTGCCGCGCTTGCTAGGCCCTGCGACATTGGCGCGTACAGCGACCGCGGAGGAGGAGGAGGAGGAGGAGGAGGAGGAGGCGGAGGAGAGCGGAGGAGGAGGAGGAGGCTCCCTCGCCTCCACCGTCTCCCCCCATCTGGAGCGCGGGGCCCCACGCGCCGCGCCCGGGCGCTCACGCCGCCGAGAGGGCGGCCACGCGCCGGTGCCGCACCGCGCTCTCGGCCCGGGCGGCGAGGTCCTGCATGGCACCGGGCATCGCCTCGTCCCAGACCCCCTCGCGCTGTGACACGACTCACGCCCGGAGATGTTTCGCCATTTTCGGCGGTCGCGTCATGGAAAAAAGCATGACGTCCGGGGCCTGGGATAGTTCACCCTTTGGCTCCTGGCGCGTGGCCGCTCTCACGGACCAGCGATGCCAAACGCCACGCGCCCTGCCGCATCCAGCAGGATCCAGGACGAACGATGGCACGGACTGGTGCGTACGTTTTGGAGACCCCCGCTGAAAAGGTTTCATCAGCCCGAATCTGAGCCAGGCAGGGGCAGGGCGGGGCCTGCAGGAGTAAGTCACAGTCAGGTCGGGCATGTCCTCCTAGAGGCGGATTTGGGGGAAGGAACAAATCGCCAAAACAAGTTCAGAAATCATCTACCAATGTTCAAACAGATCGTCCCCACATCATTATTGACTACTTTTCATCTTTCCTCCCGTGGAGGGACACGCCCGACTCACGAGTACAGCCGCCGCGCTGCCCCACGGAGGCCTGCGTGAGGAGCGCGGAAGGGGCTCTCCTGGCCCCGGGCGAGCGTCGGCCACGAAGGCCCCCCCCGCCCCTCGCGAGCTCCCGAACGAAGAACCCCACCCTCCCCCTCAGAAATCGTGGGGGGTAGGGGTAGGGTTCGCATGTGGCCCCCCAAGAGCGGCTCTCATTGCAGAGTCTGGACTGGACCAGGGCACAAACGACACCAGCCCTGCCTGCGGCCACACGGGGCTTGAGCGGACACACCTAGAGATCTCCAGCGCGGGCTTCTGCGTGGTCTACGCCACGGCGCCCGAAGGGCCGCACCGCGACACGGATGGCCGTGGGTGGGGTGGTGTCGCTTGTTCGTTGGTCCACTGCTTGCGGGGAAACGACGACCTTCATGAACATCATCTTCCCATGGCTCGCGCGGACTTCTTGCATCGGCGCTGCGCTCCCCTGGCAGAGCATCCCCGGCGCCACCCCTGGGGCCCTGGGGCGGCAGCATCGCGTCGGACACGAAGGGGGGGCTCGCAAGCCAGGAGGGTTTTATAGCGAACCAGCTCGCGCCACTGACCTTCCCGGCGCCTCCCCGACGCCAGAGGCACCAGTGCGTCGAGGCGAGGCGCCCGGCGGCAGACACGAAGCCAGCTGCATGCAGCAGATGTCTGAAGGGGCCCCAGGACACACAAATAAATACACACAAATAAAAATATGCCCCATATTTTCCAATATTTTCTCGGTTTTTGTCTTCCCCCCCACTTCCCATATTTTCCCATATTTTCCTTGGGATCGACGATTAATTGTGTCTGTGTGTTTCTTTCCCTCCTGAATGTCGTACCCCGGCCTTCCTCGATCCCCCCCCCTTTCGATCCGCCCCCTGGCAGGTCTGTTTCACAGAGCGTCCTACTCTCCGCGGGTGGCAGCCGCAGTCGGCACAGTCGGACCTAGGACAGAAGAACATCCTCCGAGAGCATGAGCCCCTTCCGCTGGCCAAAGCACAGAGCATCTGAGGATGCCCTCCCCGGGATGCACAGGAGCATCCAACAGACACGAAGAACATCAGGATACCCTTCCCGAACAGACCTGGATCTTGACCTCGGTCCGACTGTACACGTCCGGGAAAAATCGATCGGGAATCAGGGGCCCGGCCAACCACTGCAGATTCGAGCGAGGGGGGAGGAGGAGAGGGAGAAAGAGGAGGAGCGAGGGAAGCCCCTCAGACGTACATCCCGTCCTCACTCCCAACTCTTGAGCTTCTTCTGTGCAGGCGTGCCGCGAACACATACATTAGTCGATGAGACCATCGGCATCAGCATCGACTGAAAGGTGCTACCCAGATGTATGAGGTCTACATCGCATGTGGGACGTGACAAACTGTGCAACTTCGTCTCTCATGAGTGGGGACCGCACTCCAAAGCATTCTACATAGTATGAGGGTTTGGCAAGGATCGGGTCCGCATCGTATGCGGCAATGCCCTGCACGAACACTCCAGTGCCGCATGCCAGGAGCAGGACCGACAGCGGGTGGTTGAACTCCGCGAGCGAAGCGGCCAGAAATCCCACTGCATAGTGGTGGAAATGGAACACGACGCTGTCTTTGTGCTGCGTTTGCATTTTGACCACAAGGTACGAAGAGTAGAACGCAAACAGCGCGCATCGAGAGAGAAAATATGCAAAGAAGCCGCTCCAAGAATTATGCCGATACGCCATCCACAGATGCATGACGATCAGTGCGATCGCTCCCAGAAGGAGTGCCAGGAGAGGGATGGCGTAGGCGAGATTTATTTCAGTTAAGCTGAACTCGCTTAAGCCTGGGAACAAATCCAAGAAACCCCACCCGATGCCGCTGAGGAAGAATGCGGCAAGGAACATATAACCTCTGGGCTGACGCGTCTGGAAACAGAAAATGTATAGGAACCTGTCTGGCCAGTTTATGCCCGTCAGGATGGCAAGGACAAACCCAGCGAAAAGCAAAAACTGGAAATCGCTAAGCACTTTTATAATGTCGTCGTCAGCTGTGTGATCTGGTGGCACACCCAAGTCGCACATCAAGCGAACCAAGCCATACTCGATGAACAACAAAACCATCCACACACCAATAGTCACATACTGTGATGCTGGAACACGATGGGTATGGCTCGCTGACGTTTCGCCGACCTCTCTGGCATGACGGAGACTGGTGCTGCGCTGGCGCCTCGGCTGGGTGCTGCTTTGGGTGCCAGATACCTCTGGCACCACGTCCATCCCCGTCTCCATTGGCGCAGTCCTATCTATTAAAGCGCCTCGTAGTATGCTATTGTTAGAGTTCAGCTCAACACTCACCGAGGCCATTGCTTTCGCTCAAGCGCCCAATGCCTTTAAGAGCACGACTGTGATGATATCACACTCCTGAAGAACGACTTGACGAACGTAGCCCTGGGTTTCAGGAAACGCTTCGGGGTCGCATCGGAGTCTTCATGGTGCTGTCTGGCCGTGGGGACTCTTCATAGGACTACCTGGCCATGGGGTCATCGTCCCGCAGCGGCGCGCCCCCCTCCCCTGGCAAATGCTGCATCGAACCCCCCAGGGCGGCAGCGGCCCCGTCAAGAGCCAACTCTGGAGGGGGGCCTGGGGGGGGGGGAGTGCTGCATCGATCCGTCAAGTCTTCTTCACGAGGGTTGCAGTACGCCGCCCTCGTGCCATGGGAACCACTTGCGCCAAGCTTGAGCCAAGGGGCTTGAACCCAAACTGCGCACCGTCCGACCCTCGGGCTGGGCGAAAGGGGGGGATAGCAAAAGGGGGGTTTGAGAACCAGCTCGCGTAGCTGCTCTTCCTGGCGCCTCCCGGCGCTGGAGACGGCCATGTATCGAGGAATGGGCCCCTCGGTGGGGCCGAAACCAGCTGCACGCAGCAGATTTCGTAATCCCCCCTTTCCCCAGCCCCCCCCTTTCGCCCGGCCCGAGACCCGACAGGAGGAGGCAACGCCGGCCGGGGTGCGATCCGCGGCGCCGGGCCTCCGCCCGGCAGGGCGCGGTGCGCGCGCGCGCCCGCCGGACGGGAAGGGTCGGCGGCCGCACACTGCACCGTCGGCTGGTGGGCGCCCGCCGGCCCTGCCCGACGGACTTCGGGGGTCCCGGAACTGTGCGGTGACGGACCGCGCGGCCACCTTGGCATGTTGAAAGGCCTCGCCGCACAGCAGGGCCCGTCACCGCACGCGTGCGGGGCCCGGGAGGCCCCAGACAATCTCGGGGAACAACCCATAAGTCCCGAAACCGTGCGGCCATCCCGAAGCCCCACCGGCTCACCACACGGCTAGGTCACCGCACCTCTCGGAGGCCTCAGAAGACCTCCTGGGGCCTCCTCGGGGGAGCCTCCTGGGGCTTCCCGGGGGACCTGAAGCCTCCTCCTGGGGGGGGGCCTCCTCCTGCGACCTCCTGAAGTTTCCTGGAGCCTCCCTTGAGTTCCCAGACCCTCCTGGCGCCTCCACGCGCGGGCACCGCGACGCCCACCCCGAGAGAAGGACGCGACCATCTGGCACCAGGCCGCGAGTCGCGGATATCCTCGCACACCTGTGCGCGATGTTCTGTGCGACTCCTGCAAAAGTGTTTGAATACACACGTGCGCAACTGAACGTGTAGACAGGCACGAACACGTGCACGGGTCCATGTCTATATGGGAACATATCTAACGGTGCGAATATGTGCACATGAATACATCTATGTATGTATGTCTGTATGTATGGATATCTAAATGTACGCGTGTACATGCTCGTATGTGTTAGTATGTCTGTATGCATGTATGTATGTATGAAAAAGCGCGGTCTGTGGTCGCTTGGAGGGGGGGGGGCTGAAACCGGACCCCAACCCGTTTCCTCCCCTGATTCCCCTCTCCTCGGGCTGGCGCTTGCGTCGGGGGCGGCTGGCGGCGGCGGCGGGGACGACGATTTCCTTGTCGTGGCCGGCGCCAGCGCCTGCGGCGGTGGAGGGCGGCGTCGGCGGGAAGCGTCGACGAGGACGACGGTTGTGGTGGTGGTGGTGGTGGTGGGTTGTGCTGGTGGTGGTGGTGGCGGTGGTGGTTGTGGTGGTGGTAGTGTGGTGGTTTGTTGTGGTGGTGGTGGTTGTGATGATAGTTTGTGGTGGTGGTGGTTTTGCGGTGGTGTGGTGGTGGTTTGTGGTGGTGGTGGTGGTGGTGGGTTGTGGTGGCGGTGGTGGCGGTGGTTTGGTAGTGGTGTGGTGGTTGTTTGTGGTGGTGGTGGTTGTGGTGAGTTGTGGTGGCGGTGATTTGTGGAGGTGGTGCTAGTGGTGGTGGTGGCGGTGGTGGTGGTGGTGGTGTAGTGGTTTGTGGTGGTGGTGGGTCGTGCTGCTGGTAGTGGTGGTGGTTGCGGCGGTGGTGGTGGTGGTGTGGTAGATTGTGATGGTGGTGGTGGTGGTAGTGCTGGGTTTTTGTGGTGATGGTGGTGATGGTGAATTGTGGTGTGGTGGTTGTGGTGGTGTGGCGGTGGTGTGGTGGTGGTTTGTTGTGGTGGTGGTGGTGATGGTGGTGAGTTGTGGTGTTGGCGGTGGTTTGTGGAGGTGATGCTGGTGGTGGTGGTAGCGGTGGTGGTGGTGATGGTGGTGTGGTGGTTTGTGGTGGTGGCGGTGGGTTGTCCTGCTGGTAGTTGTGGTTGCAGCGGTGGTGGTGGTGGTGTGGTAGATTGTGGTGGTGGTGGTGGTACTGGTGGTAGTGGTGGTGCGTTTTTGTGGTGGTGTTGGTGCTGATGGTGAGTTGTGGTGGTGGTTGAGGTGGTGGTGGTGAGTGTGGTGGTGGTGGTTGTGGTGGGTTGGTGGTGGTGGTGGTGGGTTGGGGTGGTGGTGGTGGTTGTATTGGTGGCGGTGGTGGTAGTGGTGGTACTCGTCGCTGCGTCCCCGCCGTCGCCGGCGCCAGCGCCGGCGCTGCTGGCGGCGCCGGCGCCAGCGGGGGGGGGGGCGGTGGATTGAACCCACCATCCCTCCTTGGGCTGCCTATTGTCATTGTCGCTGCATCCCCGCCGTCGGCGCTGCTGGCGGCCGCCAGCGCCGGCGCCGGCGCCGGGAGGTTTTAGGAGGGGGGGGAGTGGGGGGGGGATTCGGGAGGGGGGGGTTGGGGGGAAAGGGAATCCCCCTGGTTTTGATCGACGGCGCCGAGTGTTGGTGGGGGGGGCCCACCCCCTGGTTCGAAACGCGCCGCCGAATGTTCGCAAGGCAAGCGCCCGTGACACGCGTTCTCTCGTATGTATGTAAGTAAGTAAGTATGTATGTATGTATGTGTGTGATATCTGTATGTATGTATGTTGGTATGGATCATTGTGTGTATGTATTCATGGATATATTCGTGTATGTATGTATGTGTGTATGAATGTATGTATGGATGTACATATGCATGTACGCATTCATGTATACTTGTATGAACGTATGCATGGATCAGTATGTGCTTGCTTGTACGTATGAATGTGTGTATGGCCTTCCCCTGTCAGCAGACGTATTCATCATTCTCGACTGCTCATTTCTGTCTTTTCCCTCTCTCTCACTATATATCTCTCACATTGGCCGTTGAAAAAACAATGTGTATGTTCTAGATTTTCCCGGATTTCCGCCTTTTCCCAGAAAGTGAGCGTTTCCGCAGAAATCCCCTCCAAATTCAATAGAGGGGCATTCTGGATGTGGGAGTTGCTCTTTTCTTGCTGGGAACCACTCAGAAAAGGCAATCCAGTTCTCGTTGCTCTTATCAAAATTCAATCGGCAGTCCTTGGATTTGTGTACTGCTCCATCTCAATTGACACCCGGGTTCTTATTAAAATCCAATCGTGCCCCCCCTTCCCCCTTGGACGTGTTGAAGTCCTGTAGATGGGTATGGGATCTGCCCCGTTTGTATTGCAATTTGTTTTGGACTCCGTCATCAATTCAATCAGGGTGCTCTGGATCTGGGAGTGCCCGTTGACATCCGTTAGAATCCTGCTCGAACTCTGGACAAATCCTTTGAATGTGGGATCCGCACAATTTGGATTGGCGTTCGCTTACAAGCCCATCGACGTACAATGAGGATCCTCTGGATCTAGGTTGCATTCAGTTCTCATTGACATCGTACCAAGACCAGTCTCACATTAAATTGGAATCTTCGTGTGTGCGAACAGTTCTTCTGATGAAACCAGATCAGCAACTTATCTGAGCCGAATGGACTTCCGTCATGACGATCATCAGCATCAGCATTGACATCGCCACCTATTGTAACAAGTTTTTCTTGGCAGCGATATCCGAATAAGGGTGTTCGAACCAGTGTGCCCAAGGACATGTGATGATATGTGGTACTCTCTGTCGCTCCTTCTCCCTCTCTCCTCTTTCTTTATTTCTCTCTCGTTGTCGTTTCGTTTCTCGCTCTCTCTCTCTCTCGTTCTCTCCCTCCCTCCCTGTTCGAGAGAAGCCTTCGCCCCGCAGGCTCCAAAATCACCCGGGGATGTGCAATTTACATACGCGCTCGCCCCGTCGCGTATTTCAGATATGGAACCATATGATCCCAGCTTGGCTGGGGTCGCCCCCCCCGTTCACCCTCCTGACATGATACTATGCTCGTGCCGTCGATTATCGCAAATCATCAATTTGCAGGAGTGCTTTGCGAAAAAATAGTGCGCACGCGCGTGTCGTCGCGCGCGCATGACGGAACCACTTCAAAACCGTTCGTGTCATCAAGATGTCAATCGCGAGCGCCCTGGAACATATCGAAGACAAGCGTGTTGCAAGGCGGCGTGTCAAACTAATGCGCGAGCGTTCATGCGGGCATCCCGCGCGGGCCTGTCGAAACAATTCGAAGCTCCTTACGCACGTTCTGAAAAAGGGGGGGGGGGGGGGGGGGGCATCCCCGCTAAATGGCACCATGCGGACACCTTGCGAACGTCGGCCGTGCGCGCATGTCGAAATCCTGTTTTCAACCCAACGATTCATCACCGACACGTGGCCACGATCACCGTCATCGGCGTGATCAGCATCGGCGCCGTCATTGGCTTTGCCGTCGGCGCTGTCATCATTGTCTCCAGCATCGCTACTATCATCATCGTGTCAGCCGTTGTCGACGTCGCCATGACACCACGCCTGTCCGAGCCACCACCTCGCACTGAAGTGCCCGCGCATCAGTGCGGCCTGCGAGACGCGCTGGGAAGTGCCCAACGGTCAGCGCCACCGCGGCCGCCTCGGTCGGGCTAGACTAACTGGCCGCCCGGCGCGCGCGAGCCTGCGCGCGCTAGCGCGGCCACACCGATGTGCCAGCCAGCGCCAAATAGTCATCGCAATCGCCCCCGCCCGGGTTTTGCAAACAAAGTTGCGGGTGGGTGGGTGGGTTGGATG